CTGTGATCCTCACACTCTATTCTGCCTCCTATGAGAAACAGATCAGCAAGATCTGACATACAAAGACATTACACCTCATTTTCCTACATACCATCTCATGCCAAAAATACTTCAAAAAATATTTTTACCATTTCCCAACAATACAACAGTCCATCTTCCAGACCGTAGGCTCCATGACACCAAGGACAAGGTCAGTTTTTGCACATTGCTTTACATCTAATATCTAGTAGGTACTTGTAACTGTTTTACTCATGATTTTGGTCTGGCTCGTCTACCAGAGTCTTACAACGTAGCCTAGTTTTAAGGATTATGAAAACACAGAAAGCTCTCTTCTTTAACCTAAAGAGAGAATGAAAATCAATGAAAATGTCTTCCCTATGCAACATGGTTTGCCGTTTCATTTTGAGTTTGACTCTTTTCCCTGATTTCTAGATCCTAAGGTTCCCAGGATGAACTAGATTACTTTGTCAGAACCTGGGAGAATTTTAATCACAAAGCAATGAACCAGTATTCACGGAATACCAGACAAGAGAACACGCAGTAATCCATTCAGGCAATAAAAGACTACAGAATAAGACTAAGTGTAGGTTGCTCCGTTTTGTAGCTCATCCAACCCACACTTGCATCATTGCAAATTTAACAAATGATAGAACTTACACTGTACTTACATGGTGTAGAATTTATACTGTGCCTAACAAAGTAAGTGGCAGTTCCTCAGTGTCCCCTAGATGTGGGGTTTCCCAGGATTCAGTCTCTGCTGGCACAGCTGTGACCCAGGCAGTCATTTTCATTTCCCCCACAATTTACTGCACTAGGAACTTAGCTGTTCTCCTCCTTCTCACCTAACCCCAAAACAATCCATTCTAGATTGGTAACTTCTAAGTGGTAACTTCTAGATGATTTTTCTCAAGTGTAAACCCGAGGCCATCCCATGTGGGCTCTTGAGCAGGACCCCTCAAGATCTGACCTCAGCCCACTCCTCTCTGTATACTTGGACTCTTCCATGCCCCTCTTACTCCAACCCCCACATTCCTTCACATCACGGTCTTCACTTATGCAGCTTCTTTTGCCTCTCAACATTATCCCTCATCCTCATCATTCCCCTTCCACACCCACTCCTGGCCACGTCCTACTTGTTGGTCAACTTTCAGTTATGGCCTCCAGGAAGCTTTCCTTGACTGTCATTCTGGGTGCAGCATCCCTGATCTCATCTCCCTGAGTACTGTTATTGCTAGAGAGTCTTATCAAGCATCATACTGTACTGTTTCATTTTCTGTCTCCCTCACTAGGCTCCCAGCTCACAGAAAGTAAAGATTACATCCTACAGCTTGGCACATACTAAGCTTTCAGCGATATGAACAGTAGGAACAGCAACTAAGATGCATGGATGTTTGCTAGGGGCCATGTACTGTGTAGAGCATCTGCCTGTAGTATCTTACTTAATAGTGATTCCTCAGAGGTAATGTATTATCTCCATTTCACAGATGAGAGGCAGTGAGCTACCCATGGTCACACAGCTAAGAAATGAAGGGACCTGGGTATACCCTTGTCTGACTCTGGAGCTCACACTGTTAACCTCTGCTAGTGCACTAACATCTGAGAGAGGTCGTAAAAACCACGAGAGGGAAAAAAAATAGGTCAAGTCTGCATCATCATGTCTCCTTCATTCATATGTTCATTTAGTCATTCAAAGTCAAGGAAGCATCTGTCATTTGCCAGGCATTATGCTAGAGAGGTGATAACAATAATGAAGACAGGCAGAAATCCTGACCTCACAGATCATGTATCAAGAAACATCTGTTAAATGAATCAATGAATAGATATGAGGAAGTTTCAACAATTAGGAATAAAAACTGCTCTTGAGTTTACAGAGAAGTTTGAAAG